AATCTTTCTTGGCCGAACTTTCCTGTCCAATCTTGTCAGTTCAATTCTTCCTGCCGAGGTAACGGGCTGAGTCTTACAGGTTTGTTTGATTCATGTATTCATCACTCTGGTGCGATGACCCATCGTTCAGCCGGTTATCCACTCCAGTAGGACCGAAATTGGATTCATTGGAGGCTGATTAGAGTCGAGATCTCCCAGTCCCGGAAACAGGGGGTCGAGGGCTATCAGAGATCAGTAGATGGGAGGACTCGAACTGCGGGCTCTCCGCATCCCATTCGATTGGTTATTCTGCGGTGCGCGCATTTGGTTGGATCCTATTCCAAGGCCAGAGGATTGGGGGTACCCATATTCGCGTGAGGATTCTGCGGCATGGGCACTTGTTGTAGTGCTGTTCCCGAAGGTTGGGGAACAGGGGTACTCATGTTCGGGTGAGGATTCTGCGGGATACTTGAGCCATCTGTTGCGGCGCTACTACCGGAGACTGATTTGGAGGTAGCATGGGCACCCAAGTGTCGAAATTTCTGCGCATCTGTTCGTGTCCTCTTTGGCTCAGGTATACGACGTCGACCTTAACCATGTGATAGTTCTGGAAGCATCGGAAGATCACCCCGAACTCTCTATCGTTCACACCCTCAATGTAATTTCCACAATTACTTGTATTGCGGATCTGGACAAAGTACCAGCGAAGACGCCATTCAGCCTCCTGCGGGACCGGTTCTCTGTGGACGCCCTCTGACACCTGTTCTGTGTAGCCCTAGAGATGTTTAATGGATCTGGGGGTCATGCCCAGAGGAAGGAGCACCTTCGTCAGATTATGGTTGCCTGCCATGATGGTTGATGGCGTATGTGTAGGAACGCTTCAAGTTGCTCTGGGAATGTCAAAATGGTCTCGAACATGAGCAATGGATGCTTGTAGGGATTGTGCTCAGTTATCAACAAATTCTTCATGGGGTTGCACATTGTGTTTCCCTTTTCCGCTACCCATGCAACCCATGCAACTCATCTTCACAAGTCCGCCTAACATTGGCTTTTAAAGTTCAAAGACAGACTGGCTAGTACTGAGAATCAGGTTCCAGGACTTCAAGGCAGAATCGCTTGAGCTTGCATTGCCTGCCTGGCTCCAGGCTTTGGCATCGTCAGGCCTTCCATACGGAGGGCCCGCATGGTCTTTGCGCATGTGTATGAGCCCGTTCCAGGGTTCCGCCTTCGCGCATTGGTTGAGCCAGCGATCCATCGGGTGACTTGATGACGACCTCTTCGGCTCGTGGTCCAGGCGGGCGTTCTTATTCTGTTGGTCTGCCCGCATTCTGGGAAGCCCAATGTCAGTGCCCACCAGACTTCAAGACTGGAGTTGTACACTGACCTGGCTATCGTTTTGCTTGTCTCGGTAATGCTCCGGTCAACTTCAGGTTGATGGCGTTGATGATTGTTATCTTGATATAACAAATCAACAACTTAGAACTCTGAAGAATTTATGGCCTTTATGCTCCAGAATGTAAGCGGCCCCAAATCGAGATATCATTGAACTGGGCTTGTTTGGGATCATGTATCTGGGGGCCATTTTTTGCTGGGGCCAGTTATTATTTTGACTGACATCATCTCATACTTGGGGCCAATTTCAAGTCTGAACTTCTTGCTGGTTTCCAATTGACTCCTCGTTACATTCCAGTGAGATTGGTCTTACGTCCTGCATTTCAACATGGAGTTGATGTTGGCAAACGATCGGCGAAGCAGAGTTTTCTGCCTGATCTGTTCCATAAACTTCATTTTATGTCGGTTGAAGAAAAGGGATCGTCTTTGCTGTAACCTCTGGGTCAAGTATGATAAAGAAAAACTTGTGTGAAATATTCCAATGAGAAACACCAGAGGCTAGTTGGATGTGACGCCTTTTTGCAATGACGCTTAACTGCAATCTTCATTACCGCAGAACATGCGTAGCTGAAGGAGATGATTAATGTTCAAAAACCTTCAGAGATTAATATTGACCGACGATCGTGGGTCTGTAGGCTTTATTGCAATTGAACTCCGAACTGTTGATTCGATGGCGGAGCGCTGAGGCGGAATCGCTGTCGGCAACAAGGCGTACCTCAACTCGTTTATGTCGTTTACTTCTCCCAAATTTCACAATGTCCTCAGTATTATGGAGACTGTTATGCAGCCGGGGAGGTAAGAGCACGCCCTACCTCCCGCGTCTAGTCTTATGTTTGTTTTTAATTCCTATACTGGACTTCTGCACTTCTCAATTATTCCCACAGATGCTTTGTACGACAGACGCGGAGGATTCCCTCCGAGCCCTTCAAAGCGGTCCAACCCAGGTCGCGCTGGTACGGCAAAGGCGTGAACTCGTGGGACGAATACTGGACTCCCGGTTCCAGGTCCTTCGTTTTGTAAGGAGTGATCAGCTCACAGACGTATTCCTGGTTAGCTGGCTTGAGCAGAGTCCGAAAATGGTCCTTGAGGCAAAAGTCTGCCCTCAGCATATGCAACTTCCCGCCGTTTGGAAAGCCCAAAAACGACATATTAAGAGGCTTGTTTTAAAGACGATAGCAATTGTTCGGGACAATGAATATCTATTCCTCGTTTTGCATCCGAAGGCTGTGGTGTCAACCCATGTCGTGTCCGGTTTTTCCTGCGACCCTCTACATTTGGAGACGTCAAGCAATACAGCAAAAATCAGTACAGCTGCTCGAAATAATTTGACCGCATGCTTCAACCAAGACATCTTATCATATGGACACCTCTTCGAACTTCTTAAAACCGTGATTGTGACGACTAATCACGTGGTTCTTGGGCAAGACGTAGGTTCTCGCCTATTACGGCGGCCAACTTTGAAAGGTCACCATCGCCGGAGGACAAGTTACGAGAGGCAAGAGTGCAATTGTATCAGTATCTTAAAGCGATCGTCACCGAGGACACGCCCATGTTCATCGATTGCTATCCTAAATTACGAAAGTGGGATTCCACAGATGCAGAATACCGAGGTCTGCTGCACGAAAATGGGAAGAGTCAGACCCTACGAACTCGAAATGGAAACTATCCTAGAACGCTCTAGAGTAACGGACTCGAAGGAGATTCGCTTTCGTTGGCTAAAGCGCCAGAGCGACGTCGAAAGTAAGAAAGATTTGCTAAGAAATAGTCGGTGCAGTATCCAGGAGTTCGTACAATATTGGCATGTGTGAGTAAGGTATTCTCTTGAACATATGCCGTTTTTGTTCTACTTCATGCCGCCAGTAATACTAAAATTACGTATTGGACATTGTATGTAGCAATACCACGCTACCAGCTTACAGCTTTAGCTCCTGGCCGACAATGTTAGAGCTCTGAATTTTGTGCCAACCCTTTCTCAATACGCGCGGGGAAACAGAGCTCTCGCTGGCGCCAACCAGCCATGAAGCTGTTCCCGCAGAGCTCAGCGCGTGGTTATCCAGGCTTCGGAGTTCGCGGCATACAGCTTTACCACATGCTCTGCCCCGACTAGCCTCAACAGGTTTGCATCCCCTGGCATAGTTGACGTCCCTAGACACAAGCCGACATATCGAATTGTGCTCAGATAGCAATTCGAGTCCTGATGTGGAGACAACATCCATACGACTTCATGTTCGCAGTCCAGAAGTAACGATGCGGGCTTGGGGGAGCCAAAATGCCTCACGATCGCCTGAAGACGGAAAGTCTGCCCATCCAGGGGGTTGATGCTACGTAGGTGTTGATATAACGAGGAGGTTGGTTAGTCTTACTTCTCATATTCCCCCCACTTTTAAGCAGCAAGGCACTATGGTACAGGTAGCAAAACATTCACGTGAAGGCGTGAAGAAGATGCCAAATGCAAGTGACAAAAATAATTCCCCTCATTTCTTCATTATGCTATGTTCCTTCCATGGTCACTGTGACAGCGGTCGTAGGCTCCATCTTGCTCTAATATGCAAAGTTTGTCATTCAGTCCTGCAAAGTTAGCTTCGAGTCCGCTGTAAGTAGCGTCAAAGAAAACCAAAGTCCCAATATTGACTGAGACATTAAGCTGTCATGCGGCGTAAAACATATCAAAGACTGCATAGATAGTCTAGATCAATGTAGCATTGCATTTGGTGCATCGTGGGAAGTGTCTTGGCTTGGCCGAGGGAACTTCTAATAGCGAGTTCTCCAAAAGTTGTAGCCATTTCTCGTCTTGAACATACTTTGACCAATAAGAGCAAGATTGAATAGGCGCGTGTGTTATCTAGTCGCCGTCCAGCCTATCTATGCGCATTAGGGTTACCTAATCACCATCTCGCAACCCTGTGCACCGCGGCACGGCTGATGTAGCCAAAGATGCCTAATATACATGCGGGTAACTGATTGGTCAATCATCTCCTGAAAGTAGAATGAAGCCCCTTGCTGGAAGACATAGCCCTAAAGGAACCCATACAGTTGCCATGGGTAGTACTAGTGTGATGTGAGAATACCATCGTTGCTCAATGCAGTTCTTCCCGGAACATGTGATGCGTGCAGCCTCGGACTCAAGGGTGGAGCATTTCTCGTGCTATGGGTCCAATCATGGCCTGTAATTTTTGTTCCTCTACCTAGTCTTTAGCTTGAGGTCTCCTTGTGGGTCTGAATGCGAGTTGGACCGGGTGACTCGTCTAAGTCTTCGCTGTGAAGCTTGGGAGACGTATTAGTTGACAACTCAACTGCAGCGACATCGCCCAGGGTATATCGCCCGGCTGAAATGAGGCTATCGTTGCTTTCAAGAAGCGAATGTTACATTGATGAAGCGAAGTGGGGGAGAAGCCTCGCCTAGGCTGGGCCGTAGAGGCATCCTCAGGAGCTGCTTAGAGTTGCGAAGCTGAGGGATGATGGGGAAAGAAGCCAAGAAGGCTCTTCAATCTGAATATAAAAGGACACGACTGGAACCTGTTTTTCAGACAGTGAGCCTACTGATAATTCAGAAGACAACAATCGACCTCTACTCCTCAGTCCACTCCATCAAAATCTTGAATTTCAAGCATCAAACTAAATCCCTTGCAATGCATCTATCTCTTTCTCTCGTTGCAGCTCTCGTCGCTGCTTCAGCAGCCTTCAGAATCCCCGAGGGCGCAACCGACGGCACCTATCTAGCCTACTACGACGAGTCGGGCAATGAGGTCCACGTCAAAGACCCCAATCCCATCACTGTGGCCGGCCTCGCCTCGGCTGACACTCAGGCGCGAGCCGTGAAGAGGCCTGGCCTCTCTCGGGTCCGCCGCTCCCCGGCCCCCAGCGAGCTCTTCGAGCGTGCGGCCACAGTGTGGTGCGGCTGCGGCAACTTCTTGAACAACATCGACTGTGACCGCGCCGTCCAACAGATCAAGAACGATATCAATGCTGCAGGCGGCCAGTCCGACGTTGGACCTGGCCTCGCGTGGTACAAGATTAGCGGCAACGTTGTCGTGTTCCTTTGCGGCCGTGGGCCTGGCAGTGGCCGCATCACCGAGGCTAGCTTCGCTGCGGGTCTCTCGACTATCACGAGCGCTTGTGGCTACTATGTCGCCGGAACCATCGAGAATGGCAACCTTGACGTCGGCTACATGCTCAATGATCCCAATGTTTGGTTCTGCAACAGCGCCCGAGGGTCTAGCGTGCATCAGTGCTAGTTCGTTGCAGGGCTTGCTCCAATCTCATTACACTCGTGTGAGGGTCGATGTCAAATTTGCTGCCATTCGTTGGATTCAAGCGTTCCTGTGCAACGATGCACAGGAACTTATGTTGAAGTTGGTCATTCTCGTTGTGTGGGACTTGGCCGATGTTTGGAGAACTAGTATCATTCTTATTGCTCAGCAACCCTTGAAGTTAAATAAGTCATGGAAAGTACATAGAGGACGATAATTCAATCTCGCAATGGACTTACCTATTTTGTATACTCGCCAATTTTGTGCCATTTGCGATTTCTTGAACTGTTAAAGGAGATGTCTCAACATTCATTCAGCCAAAAACGGAAGGATTCTTTCCCAGTGAGGTGAAGAGAGCAAAGAAAAGCTCACAACCACCTATCGTCGAATAAATTACCTGAGGCAATGTAGAAGTGCATGTTTCGTTACTAGTTTTTATGTTTCTATGTATAAGTATAAAATATAAGTTCGAATACCAAAAGTCCAGTACAAGTAGTAATGTTTTACAAGTGAAAGTATACTCTCTGCTCTCCCTCGGCCCACCTCGTCAGATGTACATGATTTTTACACAATATCTTACAAGACTCTAGGAGAGTCAACCTCAGATCATCTACTGAGGTCCATCAATAGCAGCCTGTGCAGCTCTCTTGACACGTCTCATCTTGACGCCGCCACGAGTGGACCAGTACTGATCTAGCCTCGTTGTGACCTCATCAACATTGTTGTAAGGTTGAAGCGATGCCATGAACTGCACTTTCTGCGTAATAGCATCAGCGCTAAAAGCCGTAGCTGTAACCGGAACAGCTCTCCATCTAGCCTCCATTGGGTCGGCAAAGGAAGTCTCGTTGTACCCGAAATCGGCTAGGGCCGTCACGTTAAATGCTGCCATCATCTCGTGGTCCTCATGGATGAGGTTATGGCAGTGGAACATGTACACGCCATCCCATGGAGCATAATGCGCCTCAACGCGGACTACCTCACCAGCGTCAAGCCAAACCACGTCCTTCAGACCAGCAGCCTCATATGGAAGGACGGGTCTCTTCGCCTTCGTGCGGCTGAGGACGCGGAAGTCGACGAGGTGCACGTGGATGGGATGCGTCCAGCCGCCGCCGCCGTTCTCAAACTCCCAAATCTCGACCTTGCCGCGAGGCACGTTGGCAAGAATGCGGTTCTTGACGTCGCTAAAGCCGACACCGTTGATCTTCCAGCCGCCGCCCTGGCGGTGGAACAGGAACTTGCGGTCGACGCCATTGCCCTGCGACGGCGGGAAGGGCACGTTGCGGAGGTTGGCGGGAACGACGGCATTGTCGACAACGGCGGGCTTGCTGACGACGAAGCGCATCACCTGGTTGGTGAAGCCGTAGTCCTTATCCTTACCGACGTCGTCCTGGTTGCGGAGCGTAATGTTTTGGCCCGCAAACTGGCTGAAATCGAAGACGACCTCCCAGCGCTCGGCCATGGAGATAGTCAGGGTGGAGGATGTGATGGGGCCCGTGAGGAGGCCTGCATCGGAGGCGATGACTTGGAAAGGAATGTTGGCGCCGCCGGTCTGGCGCTGGAAGTAGAGGATGAAGGATCGTGAGACGGCGGAGTTCAGGAAGCGGAGGCGGTACTTGCGGGGTTCGACCTTGAAGAAGGGCCAGGGTTGGCCGTTGACATGGATAACGTCGCCCCAAAGGCTGTCGGTCTCGCCAGCGGGAGAGAAGAGAGAACCGTCATTGTTGTATTGCTTAGATGACAAGACGAGAGGAATATCGTTTACGCCGTATCCGGTGGGGAGGCCGAGAGCATCCTCAGCGGGATCCTGGATGATGTAGGCACCGGCCTGACCAAAGTATGCGTTGACGGCAGTCTGACATTCATGGTCAGCTAGATGAGACCAATACAAGGCCTGGGTAACTTACGATATCCATCGCGTGGTCATGGTACCACAGAAAGCGCCCGCTCTGGCTGTTGGGGTAGTAGTAGTCCTTGTACTGCCCAGGGAGGATGCGATCCTCCGCCCACCCGTCCCAAGGTGCCCTCTGACATGGCATTAGACAAGTGGCAAGATACGACGGGCATCGAGAGACTTACAGAAGGCGAACCGTGGAGATGCACCGCACTCGGCAGAACAGCCTTGTTGGTGAATCTGACAACCGTCTCCCGTCCCCTGGGCACCAAGAAGGTAGGACCAGGAGAGATGCCATCGTAGCCCACAAGCGAGGCCGGTCCCTTGTTGGGATAGACCTGCTGCTTGAATGGAACGATGTCGACCTCGTAGTAATCGATCTGCTTGTTTGTGACCGGGTTCGTGATCGACCTTGGTTGTCATCAGTATGCTAGTCAAGGATTAGGGGCTGCATATCTCACATCTTGGGCTGCTTCACCGGCGGAATCGGCAGAGGAAACTGGTAAAAGTACTTGTACTCGGGACTCAACCAGTCCTTTGCCGATGACCCTTCAAAGAGGGCCATCGCCGCCACGAGGTGAGAAGCTCGGAAGAACATCTTGTCAAGAGAGTGAAGGGGAGGGAAGGGAATTCGACGCGAGGGAAGCTGGGTATCGTTTCAGAGACGAAGCTTGGCCTGGTGATCCAACATCAATAGGTTACCAGGTGATGATGGCTTATATATGCCGTTGTAGTGACCAAGGTTTTGGCCTGTATCCGTATTCCCCATCATGATGGGAGAAAAACACCCGAGTGGCGTCGCCTGGGCATCCAGGCTATCGCCGCCTTGTCGTCCATGGCCAAGACTGTCCGAACATACATGGGAGCAGAAGCCCAGATGTGTTCCCTGGGTTATGGCTCAGGCTTCGTGACTCGAGAGTGCACTCTTCTTTGCGCCGTAGGAAGAGAGTCTAGAACCTTAGAATAGCACTTCTCGCAGTGATCGGATGAACTGTGTAAGGTCAGCGCGTATAGGAAAAAAGGCAGCTACTCCTGCAGAAACTATGACATCCTCCCCCACTTTCCGTGCAGGGCCTCAAGATCTTCTTGCTCTATGTTGCTTTGGTCGGAAAGGATCAAGCATCGCCAAGTCGATTGACGGAGTGCGCATCGGGTGACCCGAAGAATTGGTTTGGCTGCGAGGCTTCGGGACCCGTGCATGCATTTGCAAGCTGCACATTCGGCTATTGTAAGTCAGAGCCAACTGTGCCATTAAGGGGGCATCATCGAAAATAGCGGAAATCGCAGAGTCCGGTGTTCTTGGCATCTGGAGATGACCCCCATCCCCCATGGAGACCGCCTTCAAGATATCCACAGCCAGCCCAGCACGCACCCTCGGCGCGGGATCGAACAGAACATAAGCAGGCCGCAATGCAAGTGCATAGCATCTATGCCGCTCGCTGTTAAGGTCGAGAGGTGCAGGCTGCTGTAGCAACATGGACTGCCAAGGCGCGCCGGCACGAACGTGTGTTTCCCCACGGACATGAAAATGGCAATGGTGAATAATTCCCCTTTTCGACATTTGCATTTGAGGTTACACGAATGGGCTCGAAAATTGTTTGGTGAGCCTGTAAGGAGCTGGCAATAATCCCTTCGCAACAATTTCCTCGGTGGCAGCTAATGTCAATCGCGAGGTTTATTTGCCGCCGGCATATCAACACACCCATTCAGTTGAAGGATGACGGACGCCTCTTGGTGATCTTTTCGAGTGGCGCTTCAAGCTAGTGACGGTTCTCGATGAAGACCATCCGAAGGCCCGGACGCGCCCCCCTGAAACTGACGCTCTAGCTCGGATGGATAGACTCGGGGCTGACAGCTAGCTCATGTCGTGCAAGGCTCGTGAGCCACGTATCGATTCTGACTTCCCACGCAGATCCGATCTTAGGCTCGCGTGATGGATGGTGACAGATCATTCGATTATGCTTTCCTTCAGGCGACAGCGAACCTCATCCAACTCCGGGCTCCGGTAAAGGCGAAGAGGTCAGGGAACAGCAGAGTCTCGAGCTGAACAACATTGTCGGGCTTAGCCGGGGCGGAGGCCGGTGCTTGGACCCACTTACGCTCCGTGCCGATCCCGCGCGTAATTCACGACTCCAAACTTTCTCCAAGCCCGCGAGAACACAACAAATACCACGGCATCAACCAAGCAAACATGGCATAATTCAATGATGCAAAAAAGCAAAATGAAGGGGCTCAACCGGGGATCGAACCCGGGGCCTCTCGCAGAGTAGACAGACGTCGGAACCCAAAGCGAGAATCATACCTCTAGACCATTGAGCCAATGTTGCGAGATGTTTGCATCTCGGAATGGGACTGCCGACTTCCGAGAGGTTTGTCATCTAAGTAGTCTGATCGACAAGCTAAGATAGAACTGATTCTCGTTCCTGTCACCATCAACTTCATGACAGCCAGATACAGACTGTGATTTGGTTCACAAAAGCACGGTTTGCAAATAAGAGCGATTGGATAGGTATTCACAACATCGCGAGATGGTAAGTTGTACTAGCGCAGAATGCCACGCCTGCCAACCAACAAAGGTTCTGACTAAAGAAGGGACAACCTTTGATGAGCCAAATCATGTGGCCGGTGCTTCAACAGGACGACACCGCCTTTGACAGCAACCGACGTCACCGTAGTTGACTCCATATGCCGCCGTAGTGGAAACCGACCGAGTGCCGGTAGTAGACCGGGATCTTATCTCTTTGTCTCTATTGGAACGTCACGACTTTGTTGAAACATCTAGAATCAGGAATGTTCCCATATCCCTGTACCTTAGTAAGGGTGCGATTCCTCATGAGATTTGACGACAGCGGACTGAGGACCATCGCAGTCGTTGGCGACGAGACGTGCTCCAGTCGCCAGAGCCGCATGAACTCAATGCCAAGAGAAGAATAAAATAGCCGTGAAGCGGCAACTTTAATACTCTTACCACCGTAAGACAAGGAAGCGTGACCTCCATTGATCCCCGACTAACGGGGCCGCGCCGGTTCCCCATCGTGGATCCCGCCCGCCGAGGACCGATACCCGCGCCACCCAGCCTCTTCCGGGACGGCTA